TTAGGTCCTATTCTTCAAAAGTACACTGTGTATGGATTTGGCTATAGCTATATTGTACTATATGTAAAAGTCTGTAAAAAATTAGTTGTATTTGTGTCATAATTTCATCGTGATGTAACTTGTTTACATTTCATTAAATCTTGCAGTGTTTGCAGGCACAGGTTATCCGTGGCTGATCCTCACCCCCAATGCCTTTCGTGCATCAAACCATGTTCTTCCAGCTTGCTCTGTACTTATTGTGTTGATTTATCAAATCTACAATTTAGTCAATATTTGTCTTATATCTATAGACGTGCCATGGATCGGGTGAGGAAGTCATCTCAAGTCACGGCTGATAAAACAGGGTCGAGCCTGTAAACCGTATGTTGCTTGCTACTGCTGAAATTCATAATACTGGTGCTATGTTGAGTACGTTGCAGGGGCAGTCTGCTGGTACGGGGGCTCAGAAGAGATCGGCTACAACGCAGTTGACTCCGACTCATGCTAAGAAAAAGACGTCGTCTTCTTCTAAGTCGCAGAAGAAAGCATCTGTTGCCAGATCGGAGGGTAAATCTACGCGGCCTAGTAAGTCAACGCATCAGAAATCCTTCAACGAAGAGATATTACCTCCACAAGAAGTAGACGTTTTTGATGATCCCCCGTTACTTCTACCTGAAGTACCTACGAGATCGGCGACTCAATCGACATCCATGACTACTAGATCGTCTCCTGCAACTGCCACAGCAGGCCAGCTGTTTGACAAACTACCACCAACTTCTCAACGGAGTGAAGTTGAGGCACACAACTCATCAGCGTTTGCGAACGCTTCATCTACACTGCAGCAGCTTCAATCTACGCAGAACTTTGATCCGGGTGAATTTATGAGACAATTCACCAACCAGATGATGGCCATGATGGAACGTAGGTTCGAGGAAGAAGCGAAGGCTCAGCGAATCCTCTCATCTACTGACAGCGTGCGCAAACCTACGGACCTGCGCGAACCAACGGACCTGCGCCAACCTACCCTCATGAACTACATCTCAAGACTACGCTGGCTTAACGTACACATTTCCGAAGGTCTCCACAGTCGGACGACTCTGTCATCTTGGAGGAGGATAGAACACATGACATGCCTACTCACCGTTCTACATCTGCGAACCCTCACGTTCAAGAACATCGAAGGATCCATCTCCTACACCTAGCCGCTCTAGATCGAGATTTCATATCTCTCACAGACGTTCGCGAAGTCACTCATCACGAGACAGAGGTTCGCGAAGAGAAGGCTCATTTCATAGAGGTTCGCGAAGAGATGAATCTACAGATAGAGGTTCGCGAAGAGATGAATCTTCAGACAGAAGTTCGCGAAAAGATGATGGAGGTTCGAGAAGGGATACACATTTGCACATGGATGATCCGCAGAGGCCTAGCTCTACTAATCAGGAGATACTGGATGAGCAAGCAGACTTTGTCTTCCCAGACTCAGAGGTTACAGCATGGATTGCCAACGGGTTGAACTTGGAGTCTCCTTCTAAGCATAAAGATGAAGTCTACACTTAAATGATGCATAACAACGACTTTGACTCGGTCACTATCCCTCCGATTGAACCTATATCCAAGGTACCCTCCAACCTACGCACAGCTTCCGCGAAAGCAACCAAGTTCCAGAGTCAGCATCTGCCATCATTTAATGTGAAGAGATTCCCCTTACATCATATAGATGCATTTATAAAGGCGCCGGAATGGGATGATAACATGAAGTTAGTCAACGAACAAGACTTACAAACTGGAAGATAAAAAGTTATCTCAACTTGATACTGCTACAAGGAGATCCTTCTTCGTTTGGACAGGTCCAGAGCTATCAATGAAGCATTGATCACTAAGTTCCAGAACTCAAGTTAGGTAGAGGACAGAATGATATACTCGGCGCTGATAACTCAGAAGAAGGACCAATACTTTTTATCGGACCATCTGGCATCTATATCTGCAGGTCTCACTTTGCTACGCAGACAAGGTCTACTGGCATTCCTGTTCATGGAGTGACAGATTCACCCAACCGCTACTTAGAGCTCCATGGGAGGCACCTACTATCTTTAAAGGACAAATAGACGATGCAGCTAAGGAAGCTACTCACGACTCAAGAGAATTCATGATGATAAAATCCTTAGATACTCTGGCCAACGTCATCCGTCATACTTCGCAAAAGTATAACAGCAAGTCCAAATATTCCGGCATACAGAAGGCAAAGCAGAAGAAGTACTCCAGCTTCAGAGGCGGGCAAAGGGTCCTTTCGTCGCCCATCCGGAAAGTACAGAGGAAACTCAGGGAGAGGCTGCACTCCCAGAGGATCCAGAGGAACTAGACGTTGATATTGGGGTTCGTAACGACTGGAGTCTTCCACCCCCCAGCCATTCCTGTAAAACCATCTACAGTAGGTGGACGTCTACAAAGGTGCTGGAAAAATTGGGGAATACTAGAGGACGAATACATCTCCCAAGTACTACGAGAAGGATACAGAGTACAACTCAAGGTCACACCTCTGCTAACCCTCAGCCCGATGGTCTTTGATTATGCAGAGGAGCAGGCAGACAGACTACAAGAAGCAATCAACTCACTACTTATGAAGGAGGTGGTACAGGTAATAGATCAGCATCATCTCACTCCAGGCTTCTACTCCCAAATTTTTCTAGTACCCAAGAAGAACTCCAAGGAGAAGTTCAGACTGATTTACAACATGCGCAAATTCAACAAATACTATCAACTGAAACCAGACAGGTTCAGAATGATCCACCTACCTCAACTGAGACTACTCGTCCGTCCAGCAGATTACATGGCCAGCATAGACCTGCAGGATGCGTATCTACACATCTCCATACATCCGGAATCAAGAAAGTATCTGCGATTCCTATTCAGAGGGCAGCACTTCCAATGGAACGTCCTACCGTTTGGAATATCTTTGGAATATCCCGTGGCTATTCACACGAGTAACCAAGCCTATAGTCGCATATCTACATCATCGAGGTCTACGCAATGCCTTCTACTTGGACGACGGCATTCAGGTTCACCAAAGTGCCAGTCAACTCGGACTACAGCTGAACTTCACGATCAAGTTGCTCACTCAACTAGGATTAGGTCTTACTTAGTCTCAAAATCCCGCAAACACCCCTTGAAACAAGATGAGATCGTCCCACGGGAAAGTGCACAGACCAGAACGCAGGACCCGAGGTGCGTTCAGTTGCAGATACCTCACCGCGGGTGTCCTTTTTTAACATGGGATGTTCGCGAACACTCATGAACATAACGGAACTTTCGCTCGACCGAATGCAGAACTGTACTGCTTGCGTACTGCATGAGCATGTGTCATGTCCTTTGAAGTCACGATGTCGACACAGTCGGACGAAGAAATACTCGCTGCAAGTCAAGAAATATAGGCTCTCTCTCTCACTGCTGTTCTTGGGCCTGAGAAGGTACACAACACTGATTTTTCTCATTCTGATATTAGCGACGACGATGAAAGTAATGCCGCAAGAAACGATGAGGACGTGCGATTCAAGTTTGTTTCGTCTAATACAGACATCGAAGACCGAGCCCGCACTACCATACCCGTGAACACCTGTGGCAGAAACAAATGGGCCATGAACACTTATAACACATGGGCAATATGGAGAAATAACAGCAGACTTAATGAGAACAAAATGATCAAAACTCTGGATAATATGTATACGGAAGAATTAACATTCTGGTTGAGTAGATTTGTACTGGAAGTGAGCAAGAAGAATGGAGAGATGTACCCGCCGTCTTGGATCTTTTTTGTCATTTTGACAGAGGTAATTCTTGAATATTTCTCGAGACGGAAGTCGAGAGAAATATTCAAGAATTGCCGATGTTGTTTTTTCACGAGGGGAGAATATGGATAACCGAGGCGAAGCCGAGGTTTTCCATATTCACCCGAGTAAACACTGGTATTGTAAGACCCTGGAATGATATAATGATAATCCCCAAGGGGGATATTTGAAAACAACCGCTAATGACGTCATAAGAGGTTGATATGAGGATGAACCAATGCAAAGTGAATGGGAACATATCGTACTGAGGTGTGTATGGTTTATCACAACACAGAATCGTATTAACATTAGAAATACATCAGAAATACAACATCAGAACCTCCCCGCTGGAAACACTTAGGATTTCACAGCAGATTCAAGTGCATGGGCAGAAAAATCAGGAGAGAGTGACAAGTAAGGCTGGTCACGTGACTGTTTGCGCGGGAAAGTGCAAAAGGGAGGTAACTCGCGGGTGAGTGTATTTTTACGTCCGCTGTTCCACTACCATTCGCAAGGGAAAGGGAGATAAGCAAAAGATCATGGGTCAGGATAAGTATAAAAATATCAATTTTACTTGAAAAATTACAATTTGGAGACAAATCTCTGCAGTAGATGAAAAAATTGGAGTTGAAAAAGAAAATATTTTCTTGATTTGTTTTTTCTTCCAAGTCATTATGTTGCCATGTGTGCAGTATATGTGCAGCTTAATTCATTGTGAGCTACCTTGTCCTGCTTTGACTGGAAGTAAGTTGGGTTTATTACTGTATGTCATGGTTGAAAAACCAGACTGTGGGATGCTTAAATATTGTCATAGTGATTTTGTTTATCTTGAATGATCAATCTCTGACTCATATTTCGGGCTAATATTTTAGGACAGTTACACATGAAAATCTTAATCTCTACATATGAAATTGCTTAGCAGACCAGGAATACAACTGAAATTGTAAATAAACATGCCATAAACATTTTGTATCGCATAATTCGTCTTTCATATCACATGTTTTTTGTTAGGGGATTATTTCCTGGTATGAATGTTGGCCACAGAATACTTAATCATATACTGAATCAGATTTCATTTGGTGTAGAAGTCACAACATCCTTTAAAGCTATATGAATTAATATAGGGAAACCTGTGACACATCCTTCCGTATCCTGCCTGGCAACAGTTCATGTCATTGTTATGGTTACTTCTGTTGTCAGGACACCTACCATGGCTGGCGGTCTGTTCTCCATCCATCGAGACTACTTCTATGAAACTGGGTCATATGATGAGGGGATGGACATCTGGGGTGGCGAAAACCTGGAAATGAGTTTTAGGGTAAGTAGTACACATTCTTCATTCTAAAATACTTTTTTGAGGTGTCATAAAAATCATTAAGTAATATATGCAAAAAAGTTCATTATATGTTATTTACCAGTGGTTTAACTAAACACCCACTTGACTATGTCAAGGACATATCAGAATATTTCTCAAATTGTCAATATATTGTACTTATTGTGGGGGTGTAAGACACAACGAGCGAGTTGGAGACAACCTTATGGGTAATGCAAGATGGGTAACTCGTACATTCATGACATCATCATACTCATGCAGATATGTAGATGACGTAATAAAAATGTGGTAATCCCTATAGGATGTATATATGGTTGGTGTTACAACTACTTATTGCAAATACACTGTAGTCTACATATTCACACAGAAGTATCATCAGTCATACTTTGTTTCAAGGGCATGTAAATAACACGTTCATCTTTACATGCCCATTTCTAAGTTGAAACAATAAGTGAAACAGAAATGTGTCAATAAATGAATTTAGTGTGAAACCTATAAACAGAAAAATGTATTGTATAAGTTACAATTGTATTCTAAAAATATGAGATTTCCAAATCAGCACAAAATTACTGAAGCTCTGCGTAACTCAAACACATTCAGTCAACTATGTATATAGTGAACATGCTTACCAGGTGAAATAAGCTAACCTCTACAGCAAAGCCACATTGTGGTATCCTCTGTCAACAACAAGTTCGAATCATGGTTGGGACTCAATCCAAATGTACTAGAATTTGTACTTTAGTCAGAAGGTGTAGTCCCAAATATAACCTGTGTATAATATATACCCTCGGCTATAATATATACCCTCGGCTGTAACTTCCACTTGTCACAGGGGTACACAAAGTGTGTGATGTAGACTACCAGTTGTTACAGGGTACACAAAGTGTGTGATGTAGACTACCAGTTGTCACAGGGGTACACAAAGTGTGTGATCTAGACTACCAGTTGTCACAGGGGTACACAAAGTGTGTGATCTAGACTACCAGTTGTCACAGGGTCACAGGGATGTAGACTACCAGTTGTCACAGGGGTAGTGTGTGATGTAGACTACCAGTTGTCACAGGGGTACACAAAGTGTGTGATGTAGACTACCAGTTGTCACAGGGGTACACAAAGTGTGTGATGTAGACTACCAGTTGTCACAGGGGTACACAAAGTGTGTGATGTAGACTACCAGTTGTCACAGGGTAACACAAAGTGTGTGATGTAGACTACCAGTTGTCACAGGGGTAGGGCACAAAAGTGTGTGATGTAGACTACAGGGCAGTTGTCACAGGGGGTACACAAAGTGTGTGATGTAGACTACCAGTTGTCACAGGGTACACAAAGTGTGTGTGATGTAGACTACCAGTTGACACAGGGTACACAAAGTGTGTGATGTAGACTACCAGTTGTCACAGGGTACACAAAGTTGTCACAGGGTACACAAAGTGTGTGATGTAGACTACCAGTTGTCACAGGGGTACACAAAGTGTGTGATGTAGACTACCAGTTGTCACAGGGTACACAAAAGTGTGTGATGTAGACTACCAGTTGTCACAGGGGTACACAAAGTGTGTGATGTAGACTACCAGTTGTCACAGGGGTACACAAAGTGTGTGATGTAGACTACCAGTTGTCACAGGGTACACAAAGTGTGTGATGTAGACTACCAGTTGTCACAGGGGTACACAAAGTGTGTGATGTAGACTACCAGTTGTCACAGGGGTACACAAAGTGTGTGATGTAGACTACCAGTTGTCACAGGGGGCACACAAAGTGTGTGATGTAGACTACCAGTTGTCACAGGGCACACAAAGTGTGTGATGTAGACTACCAGTTGTCACAGGGTACACAAAGTGTGTGATGTAGACTACCAGTTGTCACAGGGGTACACAAAGTGTGTGATGTAGACTACCAGTTGTCACAGGGGGTACACAAAGTGTGTGATGTAGACTACCAGTTGTCACAGGGTACACAAAGTGTGTGATGTAGACTACCAGTTGTCACAGGGGTACACAAAGTGTGTGATGTAGACTACCAGTTGTCACAGGGTACACAAAGTGTGTGATGTAGACTACCAGTTGTCACAGGGGTACACAAAGTGTGTGATGTAGACTACCAGTTGTCACAGGGGTACACAAAGTGTGTGATGTAGACTACCAGTTGTCACAGGGGTACACAAAGTGTGTGATGTAGACTACCAGTTGTCACAGGGGTACACAAAGTGTGTGATGTAGACTACCAGTTGTCACAGGGGTACACAAAGTGTGTGATGTAGACTACCAGTTGTCACAGGGGTACACAAAGTGTGTGATGTAGACTACCAGTTGTCACAGGGGTACACAAAGTGTGTGATGTAGACTACCAGTTGTCACAGGGGTACACAAAGTGTGTGATGTAGACTACCAGTTGTCACAGGGATACACAAAGTGTGTGATGTAGACTACCAGTTGACACAGGGGTACACAAAGTGTGTGATGTAGACTACCAGTTGTCACAGGGGTACACAAAGTGTGTGATGTAGACTACCAGTTGTCACAGGGTACACAAAGTGTGTGATGTAGACTACCAGTTGTCACAGGGGTACACAAAGTGTGTGATGTAGACTACCAGTTGTCACAGGGGTACACAAAGTGTGTGATGTAGACTACCAGTTGTCACAGGGGTACACAAAGTGTGTGATGTAGACTACCAGTTGTCACAGGGGTACACAAAGTGTGTGATGTAGACTACCAGTTGTCACAGGGGTACACAAAGTGTGTGATGTAGACTACCAGTTGTCACAGGGGTACACAAAGTGTGTGATCTAGACTACCAGTTGTCACAGGGGTACACAAAGTGTGTGACAGTTGTCACAGGTGTGCTGGACAGATCTATATTGTTGACAAATCTTGTGTTGCTGACAGGTGTGGATGTGTGCTCATCTGATCTATATTGTTTATATATCTTGTGTTGTTGACATATCTTGTGTTGTTGACAGGTGTGGATGTGTGGGGGACAGATCTATATTGTTACGTGTTCGCGTGTGGGTCATGTGTTCCGGAAAACATCTCCCTACTCATGGCCAGGAGGAGTTGCCAGGATCATCAACCACAACACCCAGCGGATAGTGGAGGTCTGGATGGACGAATACAAAGAGTTCTTCTATAAGATTAACCCAGGTCAGTCTATGGAATTCTACTATAGGCTAAATCTGGCCAGTTTACTGAGGCATGTAAGATAAATCCAGTTAGTTTATGGATTTCTACTATGGAGTTCTTCAATAGGATATATCAAGGTGAGTATGTGGACTTCTGTAGGATATATCCAGGTGAGTATATGGAGTTCTTCAATAGGATATCATGTCAAGGTCAGTATATGGTCTTCTATAGGATATATCCAGGTCAGTATATGCAGTTCTTCTATAGGATATCATGTCAAGGTCAGTATATGGACTTCTGTAGGATATATCCAGGTGAGTATATGGAGTTCTTCAATAGGATATATCCAGGTGAGTATATGGACTTCTATAGGATATATCCAGGTCAGTATATGCAGTTCTTCTATAGGATATCATGTCAAGGTCAGTATATGGACTTCTGTAGGATATATCCAGGTCAGTATATGGAGTTCTTCAATAGGATATATCCAGGTGAGTATGTGGACTTTTATAGGATATATCCAGGTCAGTATATGCAGTTCTTCTTTAGGATATCATGTCAAGGTATGCAGTTCTTCTTTAGTATGTGGACTTCTGTAGGATATATCCAGGTGAGTATATGGAGTTCTTCAATAGGATATCATGTCAAGGTCAGTATATGGTCTTCTATAGGATATATCCAGGTCAGTATATGCAGTTCTTCAATAGGATATATCCAGGTGAGTATATGGACTTCTATAGGATATATCCAGGTCAGTATATGCAGTTCTTCTATAGGATATCATGTCAAGGTCAGTATATGGACTTCTGTAGGATATATCCAGGTGAGTATATGGAGTTCTTCAATAGGATATATCCAGGTGAGTATGTGGACTTCTATAGGATATATCCAGGTCAGTATATGCAGTTCTTCTATAGGATATCATGTCAAGGTCAGTATATGGAGTTCTTCAATAGGATATCATGTCAAGGTGAGTATATGGACTTCTATAGGATATATCCAGGTGAGCATATGGAGTTCTTCAATAGGATATCATGTCAAGGTGAGTATATGGACTTCTATAGGATATATCAAGGTGAGTATATGGAGTTCCTTTATAGGATATATCCAGGTGAGTGAGTGAGTTTAGTTTTACGCCGCACTCAGGAATATTCCATCTATAGGATAAATAGTCTGGATCAGACAATCCAGTGATCAACAGCATAGCATCGATGGAACCGTTGTGTCAACCAAGTCTGCAAGAGCCTGACCACTATCCGTTAGGCCTCTTACTGACAAGCATATTCTCCTTTTTGTGGCAAGCATTGGTTGCTGAAGACCTATTCTATCTTCACCCTGAGTATATGGAGTTCTTCATAGGATATATCCAGGTATATGGACTGTGAGTATATGGAGTTCTTCTATAGGATATATAGGATATATCCAGGTCAGTATATGGACTTCTGTAGGATATATCCAGGTGAGTATATGGAGTTCTTCTATAGGATATATCAAAGTGAGTATATGGAGTTCCTCTATAGGATATATCAAAGTGAGTATATGGAGTTCCTCTATAGGATATATCCAGGTGAGTATATGGAGTTCCTCTATAGGATATATCCAGGTGAGTATATGGAGTTCTTCTATAGGACATGTCAAGGTGAGTATATGAAGTTCTTCTATAGGATATGTCAAGGTTTTACGGCATATCATCATAGGTCTTGGAAGACATCATTTCCATAGAACTAGATGTCTCTAACACATAATGTTCTGACAAAGACAAAGCTATTCTACTTAGGCTGACCCTATCTCTTACTGATCAGGTGTGAAGAGCACAGACTATGGGGACATATCAGAGCGACAGGAACTGAGGAAGAGGATGAAATGTCATAGTTTCCGCTGGTACTTGGAAAACATCTATCCAGAATCACAAATGCCCATTGATTTCTACTCCCTTGGTGAGGTAAGTGTTGTTGATCCACCATGTGGTAGATTCACGGATCAACTTGTGGTTTGCTCAAAGGCCATGATGGCCTCCACTCCTGTAGTTGTTGTTCCTCCATGTGGTCGAGATACTGAACAACTTGTGGATTACTCCATGGACAAGATGGGCCTCTTCTCTTGTAACTGTTTGTCTGCCACCAGATAGAGTCACAGATCAGAATGGGATGGTCCTCCACCCTCATAATTGTTGATCCTATTGCCAGTAGAGTAAGAGCCAGAATAACTGTGTCTGCAGATGTTACCACAACTCACAGCCAGTGTTCATGTCTTCTATTTTTCAGATTCGCAACAAGGAAACCAGCTCTTGTATTGACACAATGGGAAGGAAGAGTGGCGAAAAGGTTGGCATGGTGACATGTCACGGTATGGGAGGCAATCAGGTACTTCGTCTTTATTATTTGTTGATATTTTTTAACAGTTTGACAATCTTAATTGTTTTCATTCATGCCAGATCACTGCCCCTGACACGACTCTCCACCTCTGTCCAAGATCACAGCCCAAAACACATCTATCTGTCTCCAGTCCCGATCACAGGCCGAAACACATCTCTGTCTCCTTCCCAGATCACAGCCCCTGATACACCACTCTGTCTCCTTCCCAGATCACAGCCCCTGATACACCTCTCTGTCTCCTTCCCAGATCACAGCCCCTGATACACCTCTCTGTCTCTATCCCAGATCACAGCCCCTGATACACCTCTCTGTCTCTATCCCAGATCACAGCCCCTGATACACCTCTGTCTCCTTCCCACATCACAGCCCCTGATACACCTCTCTGTCTCCTTCCCAGATCACAGCCCCTGATACACCTCCCCTCTCTGTCTCTATCCCAGATCACAGCCCCTGATACACCTCTCTGTCTGTCTCATTCCCACATCACAGCCCCCCTGATACACCTCTCTGTCTCCTTCCCAGATCACAGCCCCTGATACACCCTCTGTCTCCTTCCCTGATCACAGCCCCTGATACACCTTCTCTCTCTCTTCCCAGATCACAGCCCCCTGATACACCCTCTCTGTCTCCTATCCCAGATCACAGCCCCTGATACACCTCTGATCTCCTTCCCACAACTCCTGGATACACTCTGTCCCCCAGATCACCTCTCTCTGCCTCCCCAGATCACAGCCCTGACACCCTCTCTGTCTCCATCCCAGATCACAGCCCCTGATACACCCTCTGTCTCCCTTCCCAGATCACAGCCCCCTGATACACCTCTGTCTCCTTCCCAGATCACAGCCCCCATACACCTCTCTGTCTCTATCCCAGATCACAGCCCCTGATACACCTCTCTGTCTCTATCCCCCAGATCACAGCCCCCTGATACACCCTCTCTGTCTCCCCCAGATCATCACAGCCCCTGATACACCTCTCTGTCTCCTTCCCAGATCACAGCCCCTGATACACCTCTCTGTCTCCTTCCCAGATCACAGCCCCTGATACACCTCTCTGTCTCTATCCCAGATCACAGCCCCTGATACACCTCTCTGTCTCCTTCCCAGATCACAGCCCCTGATACACCTCTCTGTCTCCTTCCCAGATCACAGCCCCTGATACACCTCTCTGTCTCTATCCCAGATCACAGCCCCTGATACACCTCTCTGTCTCTATCCCAGATCACAGCCCCTGATACACCTCTCTGTCTCCTTCCCAGATCACAGCCCCTGATACACCTCTCTGTCTCTATCCCAGATCACAGCCCCCTGATACACCTCTCTGTCTCTATCCCAGATCACAGCCCTGATACCCCTCTCTCTGTCTCTCATCCCAGATCACAGCCCCTGATACACCTCTCTGTCTCCCCACATCCCAGATCACAGCCCCTGATACACCCTCTCTGTCTCTATCCCAGATCACAGCCCCTGATACACCCCTCTGTCTCTATCCCAGATCACAGCCCCTCTGATACACCCCTCTGTCTCTATCCCAGATCACAGCCCTGATACACCTCTGTCTCTATCCCAGATCACAGCCCTGATACACCTCTCTGTCTCTATCCCAGATCACAGCCCTGATACACCTCTCTGTCTCTATCCCAGATCACAGCCCTGATACACCTCTCTGTCTCTATCCCAGATCACAGCCCTGATACACCTCTGTCTCTCATCCCAGATCACAGCCCCTGATCACACTTTGTCTCTATCCCAGATCACAGCCCCTGATACACCTCTCTGTCTCTATCCCAGATCACAGCCCCTGATACACCCCTCTGTCTCCTTCCCAGATCACAGCCCCTGATACACCCTCTCTGTCTCCTTCCCAGATCACAGCCCCTGATACACCTCTCTGTCTCTATCCCAGATCACAGCCCCTGATACACCTCTCTGTCTCCTTCCCAGATCCACAGCCCCTGATACACCTCTCTGTCTCTATCCCAGATCATCACCCCTGATACACCTGTCTCCTGATCACAGATCCCCTGATACACCTCTCTGTCTCTATCCCAGATCACAGCCCCTGATACACCTCTCTGTCTCCTCCCACATCACAGCCCCTGATACACCTCTGTCTCTATCCCAGATCACAGCCCCTGATACACCCTCTCTGTCTCTATCCCAGATCACAGCCCTGATACACCTCTCTGTCTCCTTCCCAGATCACAGCCCCTGATACACCTCTCTGTCTCTATCCCAGATCACAGCCCTGATACACCTCTCTGTCTCTATCCCAGATCACAGCCCCTGATACACCCTCTCTGTCTCTATCCCAGATCACAGCCCCTGATACACCTCTCTGTCTCCTCCCAGATCACAGCCCCTGATACACCTCTCTGTCTCTATCCCAGATCACAGCCCCTGATACACCTCTGTCTCTATCCCAGATCACAGCCCTGATGATACACCCCTCTGTCTCTATCCCAGATCACAGCCCCTGATACACCTCTGTCTCCCTCTATCCCAGATCACAGCCCTGATACACCTCTCTATCCCAGATCACAGCCCCTGATACACCTCTCTGTCTCTATCCCAGATCACAGCCCTGATACACCCCTCTGTCTCTATCCCAGATCACAGCCCTGATACACCTCTCTCTGTCTCTATCCCAGATCACAGCCCCTGATACACCCCTCTGTCTCTATCCCAGATCACAGCCCTGATACACCTCTCTGTCTCTATCCCAGATCACAGCCCTGATACACCTCTCTGTCTCTATCCCAGATCACAGCCCCTGATACACCTCTCTGTCTCCTTATCCCAGATCACAGCCCCTGATACACCTCTCTGTCTCTATCCCAGATCACAGCCCCTGATACACCTCTCTGTCTCTATCCCAGATCACAGCCCCTGATACACCCCTCTGTCTCTATCCCAGATCACAGCCCCTGATACACCTCTCTGTCTCTATCCCAGATCACAGCCCCTGATACACCTCTCTGTCTCTATCCCAGATCACAGCCCCTGATACACCTCTCTGTCTCTATCCCAGATCACAGCCCCTGATACACCTCTCTGTCTCCTTCCCAGATCACAGCCCCTGATACACCTCTCTGTCTCTATCCCAGATCACAGCCCCTGATACACCTCTCTGTCTCTATCCCCTTGATACACCTCTGTCTCATCCCAGATCACAGCCCCTGATACACCTCTCTGTCTCTATCCCAGATCACAGCCCCTGATACACCTCTCTGTCTCTATCCCAGATCACAGCCCCTGATACACCTCTCTGTCTCTATCCCAGATCACAGCCCCTGATACACCTCTCTGTCTCTATCCCAGATCAGCCAGCCCCTGATACACCCCTCTGTCTCTATCCCAGATCACAGCCCTGATACACCTCTCTGTCTCTATCCCAGATCACAGCCCTGATACACCTCTCTGTCTCTATCCCAGATCACAGCCCTGATACACCTCTCTGTCTCTATCCCAGATCACAGCCCTGATACACCCCTCTGTCTCTATCCCAGATCACAGCCCTGATACACCTCTCTGTCTCTATCCCAGATCACAGCCCCTGATACACCTCTCTGTCTCTATCCCAGATCACAGCCCCTGATACACCTCTCTGTCTCTATCCCAGATCACAGCCCCTGATACACCTCTCTGTCTCTATCCCAGATCACAGCCCCTGATACACCCCTCTGTCTCTATCCCAGATCACAGCCCCTGATACACCTCTCTGTCTCTATCCCAGATCACAGCCCCTGATACACCTCTCTGTCTCTATCCCAGATCACAGCCCCTGATACACCTCTCTGTCTCTATCCCAGATTACAGCCCCTGATACACCTCTCTGTCTCCATCCCAGATCACAGACCCTGAAGACCTCTCTGCCTCCATCCCAGATCACAGCCTCTGTGTCTCTATCCCAGATCACAGCCCCTGATACATCTCCCTGTTAACATTTAGCGTGTGTGTCTTTAAAGGAAAACAACACTCCAAGTTTGAGAATATTAAAATATAAATGGGCTATTTCTTTCGCTGATTCAGAATTTTCTTATTATAGAATATAATTTTACCAATGTTACATGACAAATAAAATGCAAAGATCTGAAAAATTGGAATGTCTTTTAGTTGAGACAATTTTATCTGGAATAATTTGACAATGACCATGGGAGTCAAAAGTTCTAAAATGTTATTAAAGATAAAACAATATTTGAATCTAAACAAACATTCACTTGTATTATGCTTTTTGTTACATTAGACGTTCCTAGATTTGAATCAATTTCATTTATGTTACCTGCATTTTCAGAAAAGAGCTGTTCTTCAGTGTTTCAGAAAGGCCTTCATTACAAACTTGTTTGAGTTAAAGACATACTTACAACTGTCAGACATCTAGTCAACTTGTTGTCAACATGAACATGCTGTGTGCTCGATATTACCATTGATCACGTGACTTTCTGCACATGCAGGTTGGCAGTGCTCGTGTTATCGTCTGTGTTCTTGCTCATGAAAATTGGGAGGCATAATTACACTCTCTATCCCCTCAGTCGTTGTTTGTTGCATGTATTTCCGTGATCAAAGTTATATAATTTTTTCTTATCCTGACTCATGATCTTTTGCTTATCTCCCTTTCCCTTGCGAATGGTAGTAGAAGACTTGAATCCCTTGAAGTTACAGAAGCGGACGTAAAATACACTCACCCACAAGTTACCTCCCTTTTCCCGCGTAAACAGTCATGTGACCAGCCTTACTTGTCACTCTCTCCCTTTTTGCCAAAGCGGATGGTTGGGCGAATACTGGAGTCCCGTATAGGGCATTATATCCTTTTAATTTAGATCCTAAAAATAAAAACATTACGCTCTGTATGGATTTCGCTGTAATTCTTTTTATTATATGTAAAAAAATTTGTAAAGATTATTTGTATTTGTGTCATAATTTCATCATAATGTAACTTGTTTACATTTCATGAAATCTTACAGTGTTTGCAGGCACAGGTTATCCGTG